CATTAGGGCGGGAGCCCCAGCTTCCCCGCCCCCCCCCCGCTACCTCGCTAACCCCCTCCCCACTAGTCGATCCTAAACTGCGGCGACGACCAGGGACGGAGGGAAGGGGGAGAGGAAAGCTCTTGGGCGGTACGAGGGGGGGGGGAGGCGACACGGGGTATCAAACAGAGCTTTCTACAGTAAAACAACTGCCACCTGAGCCCCTGGGACGAAAGACCCTCTCTCACTCCCTCCCCCTATGGATCCGCCAATGCCACTTTCCCCTCCCCCCCGTCTTGCCTGTTCCTAAGTGTATCTCCCCAGCGATACATTTGATGATCAGTTGATTTCGCCTGCCAAATTTGTTTCTCAAGCAAAAATAACTTTTAATCTTTGGAGGAATACTGTTTCGTGCCATGTTCTTCATCACAAATGTTATAAAAGTAACTTTCCCATCTTGCTCATTTCTGAATTTTATCCACATAATTACTTGTTCATTTTTAAATCTACTTTTCGCAATTTTTTTCAGTAAGTGGTTGGTTGACAGCTCTACTATTCCACTGACTATTTGGCAGGGCAACCGAAAAAAAAAAAATTCCCATGAATAGACCTTTAATACGGCGTGGAGGCTGTATTTCCAGGCCACATTTTGCGGCCCATCCAATTGGGAATATCTGACGACTGTCATAGCGCTCTTTTGAATCGTACGCTTCGCTCCAACCATCATATCCGATTGTTATAAAGTCACCTTTGACATCAATAATCGTGGCCGGACATAGGCGACTGTTGAAGTTTTTTCGGTCAACCGCTTCGAATTTCATGCCCACTTCGAATCCGTTTTTTCCGGGATGATGCTGACGCGAAATCTGCAAACACGCATGCAATGTGCATGGAATTCCAGTACTCAGTGCATTTAAGCCTATCAGAAATTAGAATTTGTTAAAATTGTAGGCTCGCTGGAAAGCATGGCGCAGAAACAAGCAGCATTGTACACATTTAGAAAATTTGATTAGGCCAATAGGAAAATCAATACTTAAGCAATTAATTCATTAATTCGTTTTTTATTGGCAAATTTGTGCCAGTAAATGCGAGAAAATCGAATTACGCAACCCTCAAAAATGGCCACCATCAACGGGTCTACAGGCATTCTTGGTAGTTGCTACTGTGAGGGATTTCGAGTGTTTCTTGCGCAATTTCTCATAAATAGCAAAACTTGGGAAGTTTCCGCGCATCTGTAGCTAATTTGGTTGCAGAATTACAAAACTGTCAGAGTCAAATTCCACCGCGTCCATATTCGTGATGCAGAGTGCAAATTTAAGTTATTTTGTGCATACCTCCTATCTGCACGTTGCCGCAAGTCAAGTTTACAGAATTCCAGCACCCCAGCTTTTTTTGATTGCAGAATCACAAAACTATCAGCTTCAGTTCAACGCATCAACACAGTCGAAAGCTCAT